AGGCAAGAAACATATTAACTCCCTTCCGTTTCACCCCCCCTCAGCCTCTTTCTTCTCCCTTCTGGGCTAGTTGCTTATCTGTAATAAAAAAAAATGCAAGCAGACCAGTTGATATCTGAGATTCCCTCTAGCTGTAAAAAGTCTGAGTTTCTATTAAAATGAGATAGTTGCTTGACTGACGAGAGTTCAGGCAGAAGTCTTAGGAAGACGAGTAAAGAGAAACTTTTTCAAGTAGAGAAAGAGAAGCCAACAACTTCAATGAAAGCAGCTGTGAGGTTCCAGAGATGTGATGGAATAAAAACAATACATGTTTGCTATTGGCCCCACAATCCTTTTAAACATATAAACTTCACGTGAAGACATAATTATCACAAAAGATGATACTAACTCTTAAGGACATTACCGCATTTTTATTGAATTAAAGAATATAACATTGGGCCACGGATGGTGGCTCCTGCCTGTAATCCCAGCACTTAGGGAAGCAGAGATAGGAGGATCATTTGCAACCAAGAGTTCGAGACCAACCTGGGCAACACAGTGAGACCCCATTTCTATTTTTGAAAAATAAGTTTTTTAAATTGATAAATAGAATACAACTTTGTTTAAGGTCAATACTATTTTCTCAAAAAAAAAAAAAAAAGAAAAAACTTCTAATCACTTCCTAGGGTCTGAGAAGTCTTCAGAGAACTGTTAGTGAAAAATGCTTAAAGAAGACTTTCCTATGTACATTTGAAAATTGTAAACATGAACAGGCAGCAAAAGAATGTTACTTTAAGTATTGATATATAATAAAAATATTCTATTTTTGGTTTATTTTCTAGTTTATTTTCACTGTCCACATGCCTTACACCATGCTAAGCACTTTGCATATTTTATCTCTTTATGCTCACAGGATGTCACTGGATAAGTTCTCTTATTATCTTGTCAATTTTGCAGATAAGGCATCTGAGCTATGCAAAGTTGGTTGACTTTCCCAAGGTCACACAGCTGGAAAGTGGTAAAGCCCTTGTTAAAACCCAAACAGCTTGACTGCAGATTGAGGCTCTTCAAAATGTTTTTTTCTTGACAAGCATTACACAAAAGATAAGGAAAATACAAATAATGTTAACTACAGATATGGTACAATTTTTTTCAAAGGCTAACAATAGAATACTCAGAGCTCTTTTTTTCCCTCCAATGTTTAGTGATGCAAAGTTTGCAGTGGTATCCTGTTTAAAATGTAGTGCTTAATTAAATAAAGGCTCTTATAATGTCCCTGTATTTTACTTCATATATTAAGTCAGGATCATTACAAGATTTAGAAATCTCAACGTATCAGGCTGAGGACATTCAGAGGAAATGTATCTTAAAATGACCAAGTAGGAGGACCTGGAATGAGGAGACGTAGGCTAAGGTCTTAGAAACCTGAGGAGAGATTCTGAAAAAAGATCCACAGTGATGAAGCAGCAGGTGGTGAGGAGTTGCAAATTGCCCCTCAGCTTCTTTAGGAACCTCACATATGGACAGTAACTTAGGGAGCATGACATTTTTTGTACAAAAGAAAAAAGAAACTGGGCGGGCACGATGGCTCACGCCTGTAATCTGAGCACTTTGGGAGGCCAAGGCAGGCAGATCATTTGCAGTCAGGAGCTCAAGACTAGCCTGGCCAACAT